AATATTCAGTCCTAGGCCAGTGACAGCCTTTCTTTACATAAAAATCTGTTACTTCATGACACTGCAGGGCTAGAAACTGGAGCTTCATTCCTTTGGGATGTAGGGATTCCCAACTTCCGAACAGAAAGCATAACACTTGCTTCTGGCCCTGGAATGGCCCGAAGTATTGGATATTGAAGCTGGGACATATTTATGTATAGAAAGCAGATTTTACGTCATTTTTGGAGCTTTCACCTTTAAAAGGCCAGATTCTCATCATTTGTGTAGGTGCACTGAAGTCAAGATGCCACAGGATTGTTATATAATCATGAATGGGAGATGAAATGATCCTTGTGACTCTGTATTAATATGTTATCCATACTACAAAATGATTAGTGAAAACATTAAATGTGAAACATTTAGTTGCTTTAGCATATATATTTCTGAAGAAATAGTTCAGATACAGAATGTGTATGGGGACAGAGGAATGGTAAAGGTAAGGGAGGAGAGAAAAGAAAAGAGAAAAGCAGAGTCTATTAAAGAGACAGAAACAAAGATAGAATGATACTGGGACCAATTTTACCATAGCATATGCACCCCAACCTCCATTACAGTTTATATGAGTTTTGGTTGCATATCTTTAAAAAAAATCACTCCTAGTGAAAGTGGGAGATAGAATGAGAGGGGACATGGAAAGCGAGAACAGGAAAAAAGGAATAAAAATGGAATGGGGGAAAGGAAAAAGCAAGAAAACACAGATTGTAAAATTACTTTTTTGTTCATTCATTTAGAACTATTCAAATTGCTGAATTAGATCAGGCCCAAGTCCTATGCTGTCTGCAAGAGTGGCTTGGACCAGACACTTCAGAGGAATGTATGAGAAACCCCAAGGGACTAGTTATGGAATAATCAAGGTTCTTTCTAATCTCATTACTATTACGTTGACTTCTGTCCTGAAGCATGGGGATTTATATCCCTTATAAATCTGGGGATTTTTTAAAATTTTAATGAATGTACTGTGGATACACTCATCATCCACATAAATATCCGGTACTTTTTTGAAACCTGCTAAGCTCTTGGCCTCTATGGTATCTTGTGGTAATAAGTTCCTTAAGGTAGTTGCACATTGTGTAAAAAAGTGTTTTAAAATTTGTTGTCTTTCAGATTCACTACACTGAATTATTGCATTTCCCTGGCATAAAAGGAAGTGTTTAAAGGAGGGGATAACACGGAAGTGGGGATGTCTTACAGCTGATTATAGGTCAGAGGCATTACAAGCCAGTATTCAACCCTCTCCCAATCTGAGCACTATCTGTACTTCCATATTGCTGACTTCCATAGGCCATGCTTAGGGATAGTTGAACCAACTGTTTTTAGGGAGATGGACTCCAACCATGGAGGCTGCATTTTTAATTTTGTTTAAAGATACTCTTATGTGTTATTTTTATCTCCAATTAAAATATATAGAAAGAAAATATTTTGTGTTGTTATTGTATACAGTTTTCTATGCATGACTGAAAGTCATTAAAGACTTTTTAAATAGAAGATTATCTGAATTGCATTTTAGACTTCTTTGATCAGATATTTGATATTTCTGGCTTTGCATTCACTCTCTGTTCTGATTCTCCTCTTCCCCCCATCCCCTTTCTGATGTCAAGTAGGGAATTTCTTAGAAATTTCACAAGGTGAAAAACTAGATGTAGCTAAACTTTTGGGTTTTATTTTCAATATTGTATTTTAAAAATAAAATACAAACTCTTGCTCCGATTTGTTGAACAGCATATTATACATAGTTTTGCCACTGACTTCAGTGGGTCAGGAATTCATTCCCTTAATAGGAAAGACTTCAATTTACATCAATAGGGGTTTTGCCTGAAAAAGAACTGCAGAATCAGGCACTTTGCCTTGCACAATAGAGCACAAAATCACAGCAGCGAAAAGTTATTACATGATAGATAGATAATCTATTTTGATTCTCACTGCAACATCCCTCTGGTCTACGTTACACAGCAGAGGGAGGGGCAAGGAGCTTTGAGGATGGATTATGAAAAGTTGTGTGGAAGAATCAGTGTAGCTTCAGACTGACATGGTGAGTACAGGTTTCAGAGTAGCAGCCGTGTTAGTCTGTATCCGCAAAAAGAAGAACAGGAGTACTTGTGGCACCTTAGAGACTAACAAATTTATTAGAGCATAAGCTTTCGTGGACTACAGCCCACT